GGAGACAGTAAAAAAGTTGTTTTTGATGAATTTAGAGTTGGATGATGGGGGTAAAAAGGAAATGGTAAAAAAAAAAAAAGGAGAGGGGGTAGATTTTACGTGATTGGTGGGGTGTGGTGAGCGAGAAATCCGGCAAGTGAAACACAATGCATGCAAATAGAAAACGACGACGGATGAAGGATAAAGACGGAGGGAGCAATCCAATAATTGCATCCCCACGCTAATCCGACAGTCATCATTCTGTCGTTTGTATTTATATATATGATCTTCGCTTAGAGTGAGTGTGTGCATACATCAGTCCCTATCACGACTACACCGTATTTATTCTCCGATTCTCCCGCTTAAGTTTTGGCTTTTATCCTTTGTCTTTTGTTTCATCTCTAAAATTCTATCCTCTGTCTTTTTCGGTTCATTTATTTATAAAATTATTTAATATAAATAATTAAATAAAATATTTTAATTTTATAGTTTATGTTCAAACCTTTTGAATAAATAATTTATTTAAATTAAATGTAATTAAATTCAGAAATTTTAACTTTTATTACTTTATTTTAGAGAAATTATAGAGAATCTGATGTTTGAAATGCTCTAAGATTTTAATTTCGGGATAGAGGAACATTCAAATACAATCACTAAAATATACAACTGATGCACCTTACCTATCCACCATCCATTTTATATTTTATTTTTTGTTAGAATTAAGTCAATTGATACAGATAAAATATAAAAAGTAAGTCATAATATTGATGTGCAAGGAGGAAATTTGTAGACGATGGTGTATTTGGCAGTGTATATCTGTTTACAAAATTTGTTTTGTTTTTTTCTATTTTTATTCAAACTATTTTACTGAGACAAAAAATATTTTTTTTATCTCATATGATTAAGTTCTCACACGGTTTGAATATTGTTTTAAACATGAAACAATACGTTTTTGTTTTTATCCAATCTGGTCATGTTTGTTTCTGTTATCACAAAAACTTTAACCACAAGGGTGGGTCCGATTCGTTTGAGCTAGAGTTCCAAATGTCAAAAGTGTTTGGAGGTCCTAGGTTCGAATTCAAAGAGGATTAAAAGTGTCCTTATGGTCGCAGATGTTCAAATTCGACGACTCTGAATTACCCACGAAACGAGTGATCGTATTGAAATTAGTTGGTTCGTATAACGTATTGGATATCCAAGTTAATAAAAAAACAAAACGTTATAATACTAAATGTAATATTTTGAGTTAAAAAAATTAAATATAACATTTTATTTGTTATTTTATTAAAATCGATAAAGAGGTGTTTGGCTTATATGCTTTGGAATTAGCGATGTAATATCAAATAATTAAAATTCGATGATTAGCAATGATATAGAAGATAGTGTTTGATATAGTTGTTACTTTAAATTGTAATGTGGAAGATTGAGGTTAGTTTCGTAAATTTTACAAATAAGCGATAAAGTGGTTCATATGTGAATCTGTATAATTCACATATGAGCTATATGTTTATATGTGAACTCGTTAATCAGTTCACATGTTAACTATTCAACTGATTCGCATACAAACTCATATATTTGCAAGACAACTCCTTTACCTTAAGATTTATCAGTATCAAAATACATGTAGAGTGACAAAAGACACGTTTAAACATAAAATTTAAATGATAAATAACTGAGTCTCGTGTGAAAGATATTGTTGACTTTCGAGATCTGTAATAAATATTTAATAAAACTGGAATATTTTTCTAGAATTTCTGCTGTAAAATATTTTGTTTTCAAATATATTTAATGATTAGAAGGTTTGACATGCTTAATACTTTTAAATAGATCTCTAGACTTGCTAGCGTATATATAATCAACAATTTCTACAGTAAAACAACAACTTTGGTCCCTGTAATTTTAAAATTACAAGATGGCTAACATGATTTATAAAAATATTATAAATTGATCCCTTTCTTTAACGGCCGTTAATAAACTGTTAAAAGAAGGGCATCTTTGTCTTTTTATCGATTTATTTTTTGTCTTTTAACCAATCAAAATCAATTTTATGATTTGGTTTACATGGGTTTTGATTGGATGCATGATTAGAAAATCGATAAATGATAGAAAAATATATTTTTCATTTTTACATAACTTTTTAACGATCGTTATGGAAAGGGGTCAATTTAAGAAGTTTTTACAAACCAAAGTGGACATTTTTTTAATTTTAAAAGTGTATGGATGAAAAGTGTCATTCTTGACAAACCACAGGGACCAAATTTGTAATTTACTCTATTTTTTTTTTAATTTAAATATATAGCGTAGGCATAGACACAAACATAACAACGATTTTTAAACCCATGTGAGATAATATAATTACATTTTAATTTTATAAAATATAATATAAATTTAACAACTATTTTGTAGTTACTAATTACATAATTTAAAAAAATATAAATATATTAAAAAAGATTCTCAATCATATATTATTACCAGAATTAGTATCAAGATATTATTTTCTATGAACACAGACTTTCATTATAATAGATGAAAGACAACCGTTGGTTTGTACTAATTGAAGATCAACGGTAAAGAGATATCGAAGATGCACCAGACCAATTCACGTATGAAACACAAATCATGGGGTAGGGATGAGAGTAAAAGTAATCAAGGGTTAATGACCATTCTTACAGTTCTCACCTTAAGTTTTATTCTTACACGATCGTTCGTCTAATTTAAAATGGTTAATTAAAGCATAAAAATAAACTTATATTTATATCTACACTTAACTTAATTGTTATTTTTGTTTAAATGTCCTCAATACTTTGTATTTAGTAACACCATTTGACTATACAAAAATATGGGGAAAAAATTTCAAACAAATATACGTAATTTTTTCCTAACAGTTGCACCATTTGACTAAGAAACTGACACTAACATGATCAAACTTGGGTATGTGATGAAATAAAAGTCTTGTAAATCAACTCTATCAAATAACACTAATTTGCATTGTAGTTTCAAAATACATACGGTGACACACAACAAATTATTACGGTTAAATTTTGAAAAAGAAATAATACGATAACATGTGCCACATTTACCACCGAAGTAGGTATCTCCATGGATTGTTACTATAAAAAAAAAACTTGGAAACAATGATTCACATGTGAATGTGTAATATTATTATGGGTTGATCTTGGGAGACAACTTGTAATGATTATGAGTTATATTGTTCTCTTCTTTTAATCATGGTTGCCTTTGCTTTTTAAATGCATGAACTCACTCAAGTTTCCCCCAAAATTCACTCATTTATGTTTCCATTATTAATTTTATACTTTCTTGAAAATCCAACAACTCATTCTAAAATTCAATATAATTAAATAATAAATTTATTTAATTAAAAAAATACCCTTTATATTAATTTGTAGTTTTAATAAAAAACAGACATAAAATAACAAATTCAGTATTTCACTGATATTTTAAATCTGTTTTAGTTAGAATAAAACATTAGATTTTAGTCCGTAGTTTGTAATTGAATGATTGAATCATATATCCTAATATTATGTAAATGTATGATTATTTACAAACTCAATAAACCGTGTAAAATTTTAAACCCGTTTTCATCATTTCAGGTATTGATACATATATGAAACAGTACTTGTGAAAATGCAGTGTTACTTAGTGTTGTTTCATATATGAAGCATGTGAAACTTTTTTGTATGTGGAAAAAATAAGTCTTGAATGTTTCACATATGAAGCAACATGAGGCGAACATATTAAATCATGAGTGAAGTATTGTGTACGGTACATCTGTTCGATCTTATTTTGTAAGGAAAAGAATATACGGTACAAAATGTGCACCCACTAAAAAGTGAGGGGGTGTTACGGCATGTTAGAAAATACAACGAACATCGACTAAAATTCATCAGAATCAACAAAAAACCGAAAACGTATTTCGAAACCAACCAAAAAACTTAAACGAATCACTTCAAAATAGTGGAATTCGACTAAAAACACATCAAATGGCTTTGCGGGCTTTTAATTCATCTAAAGGTGCAACTAATCGACAAAAATCATGGATCTGCCACTGAAAAAACACTTTTCTTTATAGACATTGCATTTTTATACACATTAATGAAAATTGATTTATACATTTGCACATATTGTTGAGTTTGTAAACATTAAAAAAAACTAATATGATATAATTAAGAAAAATAATAATAGAAATAGTCATTTTCAAGGATCAAATTCATCTATTAGTCATTTTTCTTCAGAATTTCCAAAACATCACTAAATCCGCAAGTGACACCTCCATGACTTGCGGGAGGAACTAAAAGACAAAAAAAAATCCACTTTTCACCCACTTGTGGACCCAGATGAAAATTGATTTTTTTTTTCATCTACCCACATTCGGAGGTAAAACTTGCATATATGTATGAAAAATGGTTTTTATTTGTCTTTCAGTTTTTCCACTAGTCACAGAGGTATCACTTATGGAGGTGGTAACATTTTAGAAATTTCTAAAGAAAATGAGTAAAAGGCTTTTCACCAAACACTTATCTGGTAAGCGTTTATTGGTAAAATTTAACACAATCACCTACTTACCGAGTAAGACTTTAGTCCATTCAAACAGCATCGTATGCAACAATTTACAGAATAAACGTTTACCATGGTAAAAGCCGTCGCTCTCATTTACTAGGTAAGACTCTCGATCCTTGTCTCTCTTTTATCGAATAAAATTATTGATCCTTATTATATTCATCCAGTAAGATAATGATAAATGTTTTTGGTAAACGGCCCACAATTTCCCATAGATTCGTTACAATTAAATAATAAATACCGACAATATATTCTAGAAAGAAGAAGAAAATATAAACACTTCTAGATGAAAAATAAATATTTAAATAATTTACGTACGAAAGAGAGAAAATATTTGAGGTTTTTTTGTAGTAAACCAATGGAGTATTAATGGAGTGGTGGCTGAGCCCACCATTAACAGTGTCTCTGTTTCTTCTGTAATCTCTCCATCTCTGATAAAGCCTGCTCTTTTTCTTACTCTCTCTCTCCTCCTCCGTCCTCCGCCTCCGCCTCCATAAAAACCCCACTTTCATCGTCACAAAACTAACCACAAAAAACCCAACATTCTTTCTTATTATCAGTTAATCACCCCCACTACAAAAATGCCCTCTGATTCCTTCGATCACCGTCGAACAACCACCGCAAAACCGCACCATCTCGGCGGTGGTTGCGGCGCTGCAACTGGTGGAGTACCGCCGCCGGAGCCTGAACACCTCCCGTGTCCACGATGTGATTCCACGAACACCAAATTCTGTTACTATAACAACTACAACTTTTCTCAGCCTCGTCATTTCTGCAAGGCGTGCCGTCGTTACTGGACTCACGGCGGCACTCTCCGTGACATCCCCGTTGGCGGTGGTAGCCGGAAAAACGCGAAACGTTCTCGTGTCACTTCTACCAACAATCATAACAGTATTATCTCTCCGTCTCTAGAATTCCGCCACATGGCTCCGGCTACCGCCACCCCGATTTTGATCCCGTTTGCCGGCGAACACGGCGGCGGACTGCATTTTCTCGGCGACGGGAAGCCGGCGGTGAGTATGTGTGAGAGTTTTACGTCGTTGCTGAATAGTACTCAAGGGCCTGGGTTTTTTGGGTTGGGAGTTGGAGGGTTTGAAGATGGGAATTTTGGACTTGGAAGAGCAATTTGGCCGTTTTCCGGTATCGCAGATTGTGGTGGGTATGCGGCGGCGGGTGGTGGAGGGAATGTGATTGGTGGTGGGAATAGTTGGCAGGTGGAGGGCGGCGATGGTGGCGCCGAGTTTTTTACTTTACCAGATCTTGCTATTTCCACACCAGGAATGCTGTGATGACGATGAATTAATTAATTAGAGGTGATAAGAGTAGGGTTGTTACTGTGTTCCATCATGTATTAGATAACTTCCCGTTCGGTTTAGTACGAGAAAACAAAAGGGAGTGTCTTCTATTGTCAACCGGGAGGAAATTATTTAGTTTAAATTTTTTGAATTTCTTTTAATCTTATAATTTTTTAAAAATATTATAATATTGTAATTACGTTTTTGTTAAAAATTGCACGGACGATCTAAGGTCGAGACGTTTGGATTGTGTTAAAATTTAGAATTCGAAGAGTAGATAAATCATAACAACGTCGATCGATGACGTGAAAAATCTGAAAAGTCAGGAAATAATCGTACAATTGTCGTAAAATATACTGCACAACTAGCGATTAATGATACCAAATACGGGTATCTGTCATTTTCCAATAATCACCATTGCGGCATTGCCCTGTAGTCAGAATATTATTATAATTAAGGAGTTTTTTAAGTATTGTCTACATGATTACTGATAGTTAGTTATGATTATAGTTATCCACAGTCATAAGAAATATCCAAAATATTTGACATCTGGAAGAGTTTTGGTCGAATGTAGTACTGTTATATTATTTATGAACTATCATATATGGAAATGTATTATATTTAATTATTTACTAAATATTTAAATTAACTAATAATATGCTGAGAGCATTGACAATGAAGGTCCTTGTTAGATCATCTGCAACAGATTATTCAAAATAAATAAATGAGGATTTTAGGAAATTTTTTGCTCGAAAAGATTTTTCAAACTTCATCCAAAATGGAGAAAGTGGAAAAGAGACTGTAAATTCATGCAAATTTGGAGATCTGTCTAAAAATGATTACCATGAGAGAGAAATTTAGTATATCCCACAAATACGGAACCTTGAAATGTGCTGTTTACGAAAAATAAATAATATTTAATAAAATAAATGTAATATGCTACTGATATAATTAATGATGTAGTATCCAAAATGTAGAATTTGTTAGGGTTGAATGAAATATTTTTTTTGAGATTTTAAACCGTGGTTCTCCGTTTGGAAATTTTTTGGATAATCTGTTGGAGATACTCTTAAGGTTGCTGTTAGAATTCATAAGAACCTCCGGTGTATGATAAAAGTTTGGGACATTAACTAAAATAAATATTTTTATTGGTTGGTTTCACCTCTTAACCATTTTCTTTACAATGTTTACAAAAATAGCCGTAGGTCCTTTTTTTTCTTTTTTGCGGACTTGAGTGAAAAATGGTTTCACCTCCATTTCGAAGCTCTTCAAGATGAATGTTGTGGATTTGACGCTTTCACTAAATGAAACTCAAGTTGTGGAGTAAAACCTAGATTTAGTCTAAAAATGACAGTTCATATTATTTTAATTTTTTGTCATTTTAAATGTTTATCAAATAATTCATTTTTATCCACATATATAGACGTAAGGTTAAAATGATAGTATTTGTTATCCAAACTATTTATTCAAAATAAAACGATCTATCATGATTTTTACAGATAAATTAAATTATAATGACAAACTTAATCTATACAATATTATAAAGCATTTGACAAACACTATTAAAAACTAATTTTTATGCATGAAATACTGTTTATTGATGCACATTACTTAAAATTCAAGATTACAAGTAAATTTTGCATAAATACAACTTATTAAAGCTTCATGTTTGAATTCGTGTAACTAACTGCAGATAAACATAATCAAATAGAGGATAAACATCTCATTTTAGATATAAAAAATCTAAAATGTAATTAAGATAATGATTGAGTTATAACAAAATACTTAATTATTATACTAGAAGAGTACTCGTGCAATGCAGCGAGATACATCTCGATTTTAATGTTCTATTTTATTATTTGTCTCTGTCGAAGTTATAATACGATTTTATGTGTTTTTAAGAAAACAATAATGATTTTATTTTTGAATAAAATATAAATTTGAAGATATCATAAAAATTTGAAAAAGAATGTCAATATTAATATCAAACCAACTACTTAAAAGTTCTTATTTTTTAATGTAATTTCTTAATTTATTTTTTATAGTAATTTAATTTAAGTTTAATAAYGAAATAATTTATTTTTGGTTTAATAATATAACATTTTATAAAAAATAATAATTAAGTATTCTGTAAAAACTCAATGATTATCCTAATTATATTTTAGATTTTTTATATTCAAAATGAGATGTTTATCCTGTATTTGATTATGTTTATCTGCAGTTAGTTATAGAAATTCAGATATGGAGCTTTAATAAGTTGTACATACGAACAATCTACTTGTAATCTTGAGTTTTAAGTAATATGCATTAATAACAATACTTTACGCATAAAAAGTGGTTTTAAAAGTTTTTGTCAAATGCTTTATAATATAGTATAGATTTATGAAAAATTATATCATTAAACAAAAAATAAAAAATATCTTAAAGAAATACAGAGAAAAACGAGAAATTTTAAATAGTTAGTTTGATACCAATATCATATTATTTTTCATATTTATACTTTATTCAAAACTTAAAAACATTATTGTTTTCTCAAAAGCATATAAAATCATATTATAACATTAAATGAGACAAAAAACAAACGAAAGATTAAAATCGAAAAAAATATATTTCACTGTATGATGCGAGCATCATTCTAGTGGATTTATAACTGAATTGGTGTCCGAAATTTACGAATGTTCATATTGAACATGGGCCAGCCCAAACGTTTAAAAATAGCCTATTATGAAAACATCCCAAATTACATTGCTTCTTCAATTCTCCCTCTAATTATTCTTCGAATCTAGGGTTTTAAAGGAAGGGTTTTTTGAAAAATTTCAATCGTCCTGTGCCCTTGGTCCTTTGAGAATCGTCAACCAAGCACATCTACGGACAGGAGTTATCGGTTATTGGCAACAATGTCATTCTCGTTCACGCCCCAACAACAACAGCAGTCGTTATTTCAACCCCAACAACAACAGCAGCTGTCGCCGTTTCAACAGAGTGGCGGTAGTCCATTCTTCCAATCACAGCAACAGCAACAGCAATTGCAGCAACAACAATTGCAGCAACAACAGCAGCAGCAGCAGCAATTGCAACAACAACAGCAGCAGCAACAGCAAAGTCATTTTTTCCTGTTCACCAATGAAAAGACTCCGGCTAGTTACGGCACTAAATGGGCAGACCTCCATCCGGATTCTCAGAAGTTTCTCCTTCAAATTGAGTAAGATATGTATACATTTATGATGATATTGGCTTAGGCTTTGGAAAGAATTATTTGAATTTTCAATTTAAAATACTAGAGTAGTAAATCCGTGAAGATTATAAATCTCGGTTTTTAGTTGTTTGGAGATCGCATTAGGTCCAATTTGCAAAAATACAGCACACATGGGAAAGGATATATATACATATATATATATGAAGCAATTTCTTGATTTAAGTTGTGGCGTTTTCTTAATTGTTACTTAGGGATTGACCCAGGGAGTTCAATTCTTTGTGGACAGGGAGAGGATACTGGAGTATAGAGATGAAAGCCAAAGGTTAGATCAGTGTGGCAGACTCTATGATTCTTCAGTCTCCAATGAAGGATTTGAGCTTGATGCAAGTCACATTGTCCAGGTACTGATCTTTTGGTGTGTGCTTTATATTTTGTAGGAAGCAATGAAAAATTCCCAAGAAATGGCAATGCAGTTACACACAATTTTGGCGATTGGGTGTTCTGGTTCTAGATTTCATTAATTACAGATCTGTAGATGTTTTATGGCCATTTTCCATTTAATGATATGCATCGGAAGTCTAAAAGAAGGGATATTGAATGTTTTGGGACGAGAATAGGTGGTGTTTTGGAACACATGTTTGCTTGGGTCAGGACAAGAATTGTTCTAAATTCATTAGTTTCTCTGCATTACTGATTAAGTTTTGTGAACATACAAGTATGGGAACCAGAGACGAATGGACATACACTTGTGCCTTTAATCGTGTAATTATTACTGAGACCCATCTCAAGAGAAAATGGGTATATACTTGGCAACTAAGACTTACTGTACCAAATATATTTATTTGGAATATCTCGTTAATGCCAGTTTCCTGAAGTAAGAGTCAGTTCACAAATATCTGTCACTGTATATAACGCTTGCTGCCACTACCATGGACATAGAAAAATTCATGTTGACACCAGGGCGTTTCTACTCAGGATAGTAAAGTATTCTTGCCGAATTCTAATGCACATCTATATATGTATTTCAACTCAACAAGCACCCAACAACAGGATAAAGTGAATATAAGTTGGGATAGAAGAGTGAGATAAAATGGCAAATCATCTAGATTTGAATAGAGGTAAGTAACTCAAAAGAAAAAATAATTGGCTTGATCAAGTAAATTGGCAAGCAATCCATCTACGTGTTCAAACATTTCTTCCTTTAACTTAATTCCCTTGCCGACGACAAAGGCTCATGGTGTATTTCATTGATAAGGATTCTAAGCAACAGTGTCTATACCAGGAAGGGCCTACTTGCAGAAATAATTTGACCGTAAAAAGTAAATCAAATACAGAAATGTAGGGGAGACACAGTCGCAATTGGACTAGTGTAACTCTGAATATGCTTGTCGTCATTGGGGAATTCAAGCCATTTGAGAAATGCTTCTGTTTGTAGATTATTTACTCACCGCTGCTCAAATGAGCACATTAGTATCCGTCCCTTGGACCTGTTGTGTACTGTCTCCCTCTGAGATTTGAGGTAGCATTCTTTAAATTGAGTGTCACAAAACTTCTTCTGGGCATTCATCTATTCATAAACTTGATGCGTCTAGAACTGAACATATTAAGTGCTGTAGAAGTTATGGACTATCATATTACATTGTTAACAAGGATTGCCAAAAGGTGAGTGGGAAAATAGTTAGATTGCTGCATATCATGCTTTGAGGGATGGAGGTAATCTTGCATCGTTGCTGATTAAACATAGGATATTGATCATGTATCTCTGTAGAAGTACACTGAAACCTGAAGCTTGCAGTAGCCATGAAATACATAACTATGTTTTTCCGAGATAAAGGTTTAATAGCAAACCATACCATCCTTTGGTTGTAGGTTAATGTGGAGGATCTGTCAATGTTAAACTGTTGTTTCATGACTGATTGTCATTCATTTATTGTGTCTTTTTGACAGGAACTTGGTGGAATCAGTACTGCAATGGATAGACAGAAGGTTTTGCTGCAAGAGCTTACAGCTAATGTTAAAGATATGCTACGAAACACAGAGATTGCCGTTCGTTCTTTCATGATGCTTCGTTCCAAGTTTCTTCACCCAAATAAAAGCTCTGCTATGAACCCTGTAACAACATCAGGAGCTACATCGACTACAAGTACTCAACCCACAACTTCGGCCATGGTGCCAGTTTACGATTTCTATAGCGGCCTGCCACGAAAACCTTCTCCATTTTTGCAGCAAACAGTTGCCAGATTTGATAAGTATCTTGGCGAGTGTCGCCAGTGGATTGAGGAGTTGGAGCAGTTACTCCTGGAATCCAACAAGAACGCTTTAAATCCCAACTCATCGTTGTTGCAGTCTCTTCCCAAAGTTATGTCAAATGTTCATGACTTCTTTGTTTACGTGGCTGCAAAGGTAGCAAAAACACCGATCTTTGTCAGTAATCATTAGGAACTTAATATGTTGCATTCTTATTTTATACTCACATGACCAATGGCTTGCAGGTGGAGAGCATTCATCAGTATATGGAGTCCATGAAAACAGCATACCTTGTGGACCAACGTGGCCGAGGAGATGGGAATGATCCATTTCTTGAGGCTGATCGACGAGAAACTGCCAAAAAAGCAGCTGCCGCACGTAGGGTACATCCAACCCTTCATTTGCCTTCTAATTCACAACCATCAACTCAAGCTGGTGGCTTGCTTGCGAGCTCCGCAACACCTGCGGCATTGGCTGCTCCACCTACATCTGCCTCGGTCCCAGCAGGTTCATCTGGGAGCGCTTCTGGACTTTTTAGCACTCCATTTTCTGGCACATCATCATCTTCATTATTCTCAACTCCTGCCGCTGCGGCTCCATCATTCTCTTTATTTGGATCATCTGGTGCTTCTCCTCAGACATCGATATTTGGCGCTTTATCTAGTTCAACACCTTCCCTAGGTACTACTTCCTTGTTCAATACAACCCCTGCTGCGGGAGCTTCAACATTTTCAACGCCATTTGCTACAAACCCTTCTACAGGGGCGTCAACGTTTTCAACACCATTTGCTACAAACCCTTCAGCAGGAGCTTCAACATTTTCAACACCATTTGGTACAGGTAATTCCCCATTCTGGGTTCTGGTTTTAAACATTTACTTCTTTTGTCTTACATATCGTTATGACGAGTGTGTGGTACCTAAATTTGTCAAAATAAAATATATTTACAAGGAGGCATGCCAACTTAAGTGCTCCAGTTGATAATTGTGTTTAGAGGGAGATAGCTCGAAGAACATAGCCTTACATGCCATAACATATGTAGTTACTGTTAATGTTGAAGCACAAATGATCAACAGTTGGTCATTTTCACAGGAAGTTCATTTGGACATAGGTTGTAGCTTTGCAATTCTATAGCTTGAAACCTCAGAGGTGTCATCCTCAACAGATTTCCTCCTTTTAATAATTGCAGTTGGCAACTCGAGATCAAATTTGGTTTTATTAGTATCGATTGCTTATTATAGATATAGAAGAGATCCACTCAACAATCTTTGCGGATTTGCACACTCAAGTTGCAAGTCCTTCAGTTTTGTTTTGTGTTTGCCGTTTCATCGGATTAGGACGCTTAACTCCTATCTAGATCGATGCTGTTAATCCGCTGATATAGCAGTGCTATCGCGGTTCGCGGTCATGGGACATGTAGAGGTGGTCACATAGCGATCCTGTGATTATCAGCTTTACTGACCATTAAATGATTGCAGTTTGAACGCAAAAAAGCGGCCGCATAACCGCTATTTGTAGATAGGCTGTATCGGTTTTTTGTGGACAGTTATTTTGGACATGCACTGGGATTTATTTTAGTCTGACAATATTAAGGCTTCATCATTCTTTTTTTTTTGGATTTGGATACCATTATTTTAATTTTTTGGACTTGGACATCATTGTTCATATTTTTTTGGATCTGACACCTTCACTTTGACCTCTAGATTTGAATAAAAGTATTCACATTGTTCAATTATTTTTATTTGGACTTGGACATCGTTATTCTTATATACTTTTATTGAATACATATAATATCATGAGTTATTTCTACACTATATATATAATGTTACTTATTATATGAACCACTATTTTTGGACCATTATACTACCACCGTGATATCCGCTATTTCAAAACACGGTCCTGATCGGATTTCAAGTTTTGACTGCCGCAAAAAGTAATAACATAGATTTAGATATATGTTAGCTCAACTGGCAATAAGGCTTGGGCCTTGGAGATCCTCCTCAGAGGTCATCGGTTCGAGTCCTCCAAGGCCACTGGGGTTTTTCCTGGTTGTTCTTCTGGGACCCCGGGATTAGTCGTGGTGCACACAGGCTAGCCCACAAAAAAACATAGATTTAGATAAGAACAATCGGACATCCTAGTGGGGATGGCGATTTCTGGGACCAGAATCCGAGGTCTGATTTGCATTTATTAGTTTTTTAGAGCTTATTCTAAACTGCTCTCAATGATTCATGCTAGAACATCCTTTGAATTTTAGTGATCTATTATGGGGTCATCTGGTATAGTTTTAACTCAACATCTCTTTCTATTATTTTATATAAATTGCACACTTTTTGTTTGTGTAAAGTTGATTGTTGAGTGCTGACACAGGAGGGTGTCTATTAGTTTTGATTAACGAAAGATAGAATTAGAATTAAAGATATATATTGAGAAGCTTGGGGGACAGTGGACACCAGTTTAGAAGCTAAGGCAACACCATGTGAGGCGGTTTAATCATCTCCAACATAGAACTTGAATTGCTATATGAAAATATCTGTACCATAACTTTAGTTAATGTAATGTTTGCCTACAGTTCAGTAACTTACAACCTGAATGGGCCACTTTTGAAATGCTTGCTTAGATCATATTTGCATGCTAGTACCATTGAGCATGGTGTATGAGGACCCAAATGTGTAATCATAATCCTATGAGATTGCTGATTTCAGTTATTAATGTATTATTCATTAAACTTTTGTTTCAACTGGATAGGGGCTGCAACAGGATCAGGGGCAAGCTTCAATACTTTATCTGTAAGTGAAACTGATCCTTCAGTATTGTAAATTGAAGATATGAATTTTGATCATTGATATCACTCCCTTATATTAGATTATCTGCTTCTTTGTTCCCTTTAGAGGCATGTTTTTCTAGAATTTAATGCATTTCACGCTGTTAAGTGCTTTGCCAAATTGGTATTGGCTACAACAATAATACTTGCTATAAGCCATACGTGAAGATTGATGATCCCCTTTGTGCCATTAAAAATATTTCCAAGAATTATCTGTTTATCGCTTGTACTGTCACCCATCCCCCCTGACCCTACCTACGCGTGAAATATACTGGGTTGGTTTGGTTCGACTAATAGAGTCACTTGGAAAATAGGAGAGGAAACAATGGGATAGAAATTTTGTTTATCTATGACAAAACTAAATATCATTCGAGACTGGCCCATCATTTTCTACCTTTTCTTGCCCTATAGGTACCATGAAAGTCCTAGAGACAATAGCCAAGATAATTATCACCTGAAAACTTCTCACCAAAGAATGGAAACATTGCAGTACTTACATGACATCCAAAATGGAAATTGTTGCAATTTTTAATGGAGATAGCTAGTACTCCCCTCGTTTCAAATAAGTGTCCACATTTTTATTTAACTTTATCCCGAAATAATATTCAGTTTCACAAATAGATTTATAGTTTACTAAATTTCCAATTATACCATTAATTATGACACACAAATATTTAAGAGGTGATTGAGTTGGGAGAGGGAGAAAGAAGGTTTGCTTCTATAATTAAAGGTAAAATTGTCATTTAGTTAATTATGAAGTGTAATAAGTACACCTATGTTTAGTTGTGTGTGTTCTTTTCATTGTGGGCATTTATTTTGGGATGGAAAGAGTATTACTTACCATTATTACCTGCGTGGCTACATAACTTAGTTGCACATGTTGTTTTCTTGATCTTTTTTTGGATGGTAGATTCGATGGGTGTATGTAACTCGATATATTTGTTTGGCAAACAAGAACCTTTTCACCATTCTTACTTAATATCTCATCTGAATCACAGAAAGCAAGAGCTAAAAGTCGCACAGGAGGACGGAGGTAGAAATTCAGCAGCAGGGGTTTGAAGGTTCAATGATGGGAGGTGACTTGTTTGTATAATTTTTATTGGCTTCAAATGCAACCCTATAGGACAATATTGATTATTAGACTTGGTTTGTTTCCTTCAATCTTGTTTCTGTTTATTGATTCTTAGAGCAATTCGACCTGTATTCTAGGAAGGGGGAAAAATTCAAGATTCATAGTTTACTGTAACAATGTAGTTGCTGGAATGTGTCATTATGCCCAGTTTGGAAAGAGCTCATGTGCATCATTACTGATGAATGTCTTAATTGCAATTCAATCTGAATTAATCTTTTGCTTACGATTTATATGTTTACTGATCTAGAGGGGGGGGGGGGGGGACAAAATCAGCCTTTTGTTTTATTTGTTCAGCTTCAGCCTGACAGAACCAACCACAAAAGGGTCAAAGATTGTACTGAGAAAACAAGATAGAAATAATCAGGTTCTGTGACTGACCCATTTGGAAATTTTTGATTTTATCTAACTGCTCCTTAAACATGTTATGCCTCTCTGCAAAAGAGAGCATAAGAACATGATGATTGGGCTACCATTTCAAAATTATATACAAGTCACTATCAAGTTTATATTAAATGTCACAAAGCTATAACCACTCCCACCTTAACACTTATCTTACCAACCATAATCAGACAATTAGGATTTAATTACCGAAATTCAGTTCCGTGTAGTCAATTGATTAGGTATTTGAGTTGGTCCCAGTACATAATTGATCTCTAGAGCTATACTATATATAAACGCATAATCATTTACAAACCCAATAAGTCATACAAACTCACGAACCAATTTTCATATGTTGTTTCACATATAATACAATACACGTGAAAATGCAGAGTTTATGCAGTATTGTGTGTAGAAAAAAGTACTGAACCTTTCACACATGAAACAACACTGTGTGAACACTGCATTTTCACATGTGTTGAAACAACTCATGAAAACTGGTTTGTAAGTCTGTAATAGTTATTGAGTTTTTAAAAAGGGGACTATAAACATGTAATCAACTATCTACTTGTGGCTTGTAGGCAAATTATATGGTGCTTTTGTGTTGCCATCAACTAGTTCCTGTGAGTCTCCCACATCCATATTACTGTGCCTTCTTTTAGTGCTTGCACTTGAAAAACATGATATATATATATATATATATATATATTATATAATATATATATATATATACACCACATCCACATTACCGTTCCTTCTTTTAGTGCTTGCACTTGAAATATATATATATATATATATATATATATATATATAATTTGCATACAAGGCACAAGTAGATAGTTGATTACATGTTTATATTATTAATTAGTTTAATAATGTTAGTGGATAATCCTCATTTAAAGGTGTGATGATGGAGATAAGAAAATATTGTTAGATGAAACTGACAGATGATGCATTGATTGGAGCAAGTTGGAGAACGACAAAGATTCACAAGATACTGATAAAGATATTAAGAATTGATTGTTTTTTGGAACATATAGCGATGGCAACTTCAAGTGGTTGGAAGGGTCAATTCATCCCAACTCCGTTTCTCGTTTCTATTCTAAACATCGTTCCCATGAGCATCAAATGGGACCCATCAAATAGAAACGAGAGCGAAACAAATCGGTAAGTTTCTTTTTCATTAATCCTGCTTTCTTGAATCTTGATTGTTGAGCTTCACTAATCTGGGGATCTTATCTTCTTACTGCATATACATGTTTTCTGTGGTCACAATAACTTGGTGCTTTTAGAATGTGGGAAGTTGTTAATCTTGAATGGATGTCATTAGGAAAAGGGTATTGTAATTAATTAAAGGTTTTGTTAATATTTTATAGTACTTGTTGGGACAAGTTGTCCCTCATAGGATTGTTCATCTTGTCCCGTCAATTCTTGAGGTGGGCCCTTCTTTAATTTATATACTTTACGGGAGGAATGTAATAGCTGACCACCACTAAGTTTTGTCCACAAAATAATAGTGATGTCAAAATTATGGTCTTACAAGTTTAGAATCTGCAATTCTTATCATCATCATCATCCTCCTCATGCCTTTGCCTTTCTCATCATGTTATGTCTACATGATACACACATACACATACATTTCTATATCTATATCTATATCTATATATTCTTCCTTGTGTATTTACAGTTGTAATAACTAATAAACAATACAGTGTATATATCTATATATTGCTGCCAACTTTAGGTTAGTTCATGTGTGTGTTGGAATCTTGATTATAGTTTTCTTGCCTGGTGGTTGGTTTAATCAACCTGTGGCTTAGGGGATGTTTTGTTGGTTTTCATTAAGTCTTGTATGAATAAAACTGTTTGTGTGGATTAATCTGTCTGTATAGATTGAGAAGATTATTATTTGAGGTTTTTTTTTTCCATAGATGAAAGTAGCATGTTTTAAGTGGGAGGGGATGGTTTTGGAAAAAAACTTGGCTTTTTGCATAAAACTACTGAATAAACCACTTTTTATATCATTAAGCTACTGTTAAATAATCATGTATAGTTGAGTGTGAGGTTAGTTAAACTCATTAATCTACTAACAATAAGGCCCTTAAACTCATGTGTTACAAGAACTTTAGAAGGGGTTTTCTGACTTGTTTGACTCAGTCAACACATACCCATTACACCTTTAAGTGTATTCCCACTAACTTTTATCAACGGATCTAAAGCAGCTTATACTGGTGACTGTATCTCTTTTGGCCCATGACCATGCTCACCTTACATCTGTATGGCTATCTTTAAATCGCTGTTAACTTAACATCACATATTGATCTCTACAGTAGTAATCAATACCCCATTAGTTTTGATCTTAACCGTAAGATTTAATCAGTACCCCATTATTCATGGAGGATCTTGATCTTAATCGTAAGATTTGATCTGATTTTGATGTAAAAATGTGTGTGTGCATACATTAATACCCGTTTGTGATTTCGGAGCATATGGTAAGATGTCAGAAATAAATTCTCTGTGAAGCTATCATTTCATAATTCCCTTTTCATAAGGTGTTTTCATCCAATGAATACCTGCCCACATGCCAACTTTGTCTAGAGGATATACATGGTCTATGGGTTAGACCTGGACCAAGGATCTTGTCCAACCTAGCTTTTGTCAGTCAGAATGAACCAACTTCCCATCACCGGTCTGACCCACTTGCCAGCAGGGTACTACTTGTTTCTTTTTCAAAAGTTCCAGAACCCACACCCATTTGAATCGGACTCAAGGGCTCCGGTGATGTCAATCTCAGACCAACTTCCCTGAGACAAATGTTGCATCTTTCGGGTGTGAATCTGATTGCACGGTGGTGCCGGAAACCACCGTGCATAGGAGGAGGTGGGTGGTGGGTGGTGGGTAGTGGGTGTTTAGATGGAATGGCTAATAATGTGCACGAGTGGTGGTAGACAACTTAATGGAGTATTCCTGCCATTGTGGCATGATTGGTGAGGGTAGAATTGGAAATCTATCGATTCTAGTTTTCGTTTTTGATACCCATATATGTTTCAAGTCCCGTTAGCATTAGAGATGCACAAAAACGCCTCCGTTACGAGTTAAATATACAAAAGAGTTAAGGAAATGGGTATTTTTATATTCCTACAAGTCCAATTCGTAAACTGTTCCTCAAAATACTAAATGCCTTGTTTTTGTCGTTTTGATTTTTGGGGAGTGTTTTCATTGGGCACAAGGAGAATATTTGTCAAGTGAAAGGATTTGGCGTTTGGGAGTATTATTCTAAAAAAAACAAAAATTCAATACATTTACTTGCAATCATCACATCATCTATTATTTTATAAAATAATAAGTTGTAAAGTTTTAAGTGTAAAAAATGGTTAAACCCAAATATATATATATATATATATATATATATATAATAGTTCAAATGAGAACCCTTGTGATTTACGAAAACATAAGAACAATCTATTAACCTCATATTATGATAACAATAAAAATTAAAAAACAAATTATATTAAAAATAAAATTAAAACAATTCAAAAAAAATTGAGAGGCAAAAGGGTAATAATTTGGATAATTTGGATAACTATAATAGGTTATTATGGTTATCGCTTATTTCAACACGATTTGGTGTGATATGGTTATCGTTATCATGTGATTATCACATAATTATCACAAGGATTCCGTTCGGCTAGGGTTAACTCAGGAAATCGTCTACCGATATGGGTGTGATAATCATGTGATATCATTATCATAACAGCGCACTCGATTTGACCATGGTTTCGATCAGTTAGTGTTAGACAATCACACATTTATCACAATGATTACTCATGGTTTTAATAGGTTAGAATTAGACAATCACACATTTATCACAATGATTAAAGACGAAATCCACTAAACGATTTGGTGTGATAATCATGTAATATCCCTATAATTTATAGTTTTTGCTCAAGTCCGCAAGTGATACCTCCGTAATCAGCAGATCCAAGCAGAAATCGTAATTCCTTTTGTCTTCTAACGACCTCTGCAAACTAAAAAAAGTAATGAAATTTAGATATAATTAAAAAAGAAATGACTAGAAAATCAATTTATACGATTTTGGGTTAATTTGCCATAAATAAATTATGAAAGTTTTAAGAAGAAATAAAAAGTGAGTATGCAGGGAGAAACACAGTATCCCAGTTGAAAGAAGGTGGGGCCAAGGAAACCGACTTGCCGCATAAGAAGAGACATATGTGGGGTCTCTCTACAGTGGAACTACAATCTACAACTACACCAAATATTATTCTTTCATTTTATAATTTTAAATTATTTGTTTGTGTTTAGAGTTTAGGGTTATTTGAATTGTATTTTATTTATAAAAAAATTATTTTTAATTTATACAGACAATTTTTATTTATACATGACTTGAATGAAAACTAATCAAATAAGCGTGTTATTTGAGCGATTAAATCGGTTTTTGGTTTATTTGGTTAAAACTAATTGTTTTTTAATTTTTTTTTTAAAACAAACCGATAACCGAACCAAATGAGATTTTGTTGAATTAGTTTTGGGTTATTTGGTTTTCGAGTTATTCGGTTCTGTAACTTGTTAAACTGAATAAGAAATCATATTTTCTGTTGGACACTTGCTAAAATAATTTTCTCAAATTCAATGCATATTACTTCTGATATATAATTATCATACGTTTATACTCAACAATTGATATGTATTAAGTAAAAAAATATAATCTACCAAAAACCAGTATCTACCAAAAACATTATAACATTATCTGGTATCAAGTAAAAAACATTATACAAGAATATAAT